CTCGATCTCTTGACCTCGTGATCCACCCGCCTCGGCCTCCCACAGTGCTGGGATTACAGGCGTGAGCCACCGCGCCCGGCCTGCTTTTCTTTTTTGTAGAGCTGGAATCTCACTATGTTGCCCTGCTGGTCTCGAACTCCTGGCCTCAAGCTCTCTCCCATCTCAGCCCCCCAAAGTGCTGGGGTTGCAGGCGATGGCCACCAAGCTCAGCATGAAACGTCTTTAAAGAAAAAGGTGTTGCCGAGCATGGTGGCTCATGCCTGTAATCCCAGCACATTGGGAGGCCCAGGCGGGTGGATGACCTGAGGTCAGGAATTCAAGACCAGCCTGGCCAACATGGTGAAACCCCGTCTCTACCACAAATACAACAGTTAGCCCGGCGTGGTGGCGTGCGCCTGTAATCCCAGCTACTTGGTTGACTGAGGGAGGAGAATCACCGAAACCCAGGAGGCAGAGGTTGCAGTGAGCCAAGATCGTGTCATTTTGCTCCAGCCTGGGTGACAAGAGCAAGACTCTATCTTAAAAAGTGACTGCAACGATTAATTTTACATGCCAACTTGGCTGGGCCACGGTGCCCAGATACGTGATCAAACATTATTCTGGATGTTTCTGTGAAGAGGTTTTTGGATGACATTAACATTTGAACCGCATACAACTAGTTGCAGGCTTTACTAGAAGAAAGACTGACCTTCCCGGATCAAGAATTTCCCCAGCAGACAGATGGCCTCAGGACTCTGCCGCGGCTCCTTCCGGAGTCCCAGCCTGCCAGCCCTACCCTGCAGACTTTGGACTCGCCAGGCCTCACAATCAATCTCTCTCTATAGCTATAACCCGTAGCTTCGGCTTCTCTAAGGACCCTGACCCCACACAGGACACATTTTATTATATGATAAACAGACTAGAAACTTTTAGTCACTAACAAGAAAATCCTCTTTTATTTCTTGAAACATCTTTCACTTGCCCATTTTGGACAGAGACACAGCGTGAAGAAATACTTCTCTATGAAAACAACAAACGGAACACAATAAATGGTAGCTGACTCTGCCATCTGGAGATGGACAACAGGGCGGGGTGGGGTCTGTGGTAAACTGGAGCCAAAGGAGTCAGTGGCTCCAGCTACATCGCAGCATGTGCAGGAATGTGAGGCTCGGTACTGTCAGATCTTCTGATGCTTCAGGAGAATCCAGAAATCTGGGTATTTTGTGTAAAATCTCCCCATTTTTAAACACAGCCTCGAAAATACATTTAAGGTTTTGTCTTTTGTTTTTCGAGATGGAGTCTCGCTCTGCTGCCCAGGCTGGAGGGCAATAGCGCAATCTCGGCTCACTGCAACCTCTGCTTCCTGGGTTCAAGTGATTCTCCTGCCTCAGCCTCCCGAGTGGCTGGTTTTACAGGCATGCATCACCACGCCTGGCTAATTTTTGTATTTTTGTAGAGACAGGGTTTCACCATGTTGGCCAGGCTGGTCTCAAACTTAGGTGATCTGCCTACCTCGGCCTCCCAAAGTTCTGGGATTACAGGCGTGAGCTACCGTGCCCGGCTCACATTTAAGGCTTATCTGGGTGAAAAGTCTGCTCTAGAATGTAGCTTAGAGGTGACAAGCACAGGGTCTGGGATCGGCCATGCTAAGTGGCGTTCCTGGTCCTATCAGCACTCAGCAGCTGGGGGACAGCAGCTTAGCTCACCTCCTGTGGCCTCAACACCCCACTCGCAAAATGCCACTGACCTGCCCAGAGCACACAGGGTTGTGGTCAAAATTACACAAAGTGGGGCACATCAAGTGCGTGGCAGTTGCCAGTGGCCAGATAAAAAGTCCTTCCCTGTCTGTTCCATCAGCTGGCCCTGTGCAGCAAGCAGAGGTAGGCGCGCTGTCACCAGAGGCACCGAAGCTGGAAAACACTTCCTCCACCGTGGCCTCGCAATTCCCACACTTCGTGAGAAGCTGAGGCAGACACTCCAAAGTGTCCTTGCAACTTCAGGGGCCTGTGATTCTAGAATTCTAGGCTGTGCAGAACCAATCTGTGTAGCTTTCTGGAAACAACTTGGCAGCATGCCTCATGCGCCTCAAAAATACGCGTTCTGTAACTGTATCCAGAGACATCATCCGAAATGCAACGAGATGCTCATCACAGCCCGACTGCGGCGAAAATCCAGGGAGAGCCCAGAGGCCCGTCAGCAGGGATTGGTTAGAAAAATCCGCTTTCCAGACCCGGCCCCGGCCCCACCCCTACAGCTGCAGAGATGCTGGTGCCTAAGAAGAACCAGATTGCCATTTATGAACTCCTTTTTTTTTGAGACGCAGTCCCTCTCGTCACCCCGCCTGGAGTGCCGTGGCGCGATCTCGGCTCACTGCAACATCTGCCTCCCAGATTCAAGCAATTCTCCTGCCTCAGCCTCCCGAGTCGCTGGGATTATAGGCACCTGACACCACACCCAGCTAATTTTTATACTTTTAGTAGAGACAAGGTTTTGCCACATTAGGCAGGTTGATCTCAAATGCCTGACCTCAGGTGATCTGCCCACCTTGGCCTCCCAAAGCGCTGGGATTACAGGTGTGAGCCACTGTACCCGACTTATGAACTCCTTTTTTTTTTTAAATCTTTTTTTTTGTTTTGTTTTGTTTTTTTGGGACGGAGTTTCGCTCTTGTTACCCAGGCTGGAGTGCAATGGCGCGATCTCGGCTCACCGCAACCTCCGCCTCCTGGGTTCAGGCAATTCTCCTGCCTCAGCCTCCTGAGTAGCTGGGATTACAGGCACGCGCCACCATGCCCAGCTAATTTTTTGTATTTTTAATGGAGACGGGGTTTCACCGTGTTGACCAGGATGGTCTCGATCTCTTGACCTCGTGATCCACCCGCCTCGGCCTCCCAAAGTGCTGGGATTACAGGCTTGAGCCACCGCGCCCGGCATGAACTCCTTTTTAAGGAGGGAGTCGTGGTGGCCGAGAAGAATGTCCACCTGCCTAAGACCCAGAGCTGGTAGATGAGAATGTGCCCAACCTTCACATCATGAAGGCCACACAGTCTCTCAAGTCCCGAGGCTGTGTGCAGGAACAAGCTGCCTGGAGACACTTCCACTGGTACCTTACCCACACCGGCATCCAGAATCTCTGTGATTACCTCTTTCTGCCCCTGGGGAGCGTGTCCGCCACCCCATGCCACAGCTGTCGGGAGACTGGCAGGCTGCGACCTAAAGGTCTGGAGCATGACCAACCTGCAAGGCCCACAAGAAGGGAAGCCAGCAAAGACACTCACAGACAGGGAGAGACACCCACAGATGGGGAGAGACACCCACAGACAGGGAGAAACACTTACAGACGGGGAGAGACACCCACAGACGGAGAGAGACACCCACAGACAGGGAGAGACACCCACAGACAGGGAGAGACACCCACAGACGGGGAGAGACACCCACAGACAGAGAGATACCCACAGACGGGGAGAGACACCCACAGACGGGGAGAGACACCCACAGATGGAGGGCTGTGTCTCCTGGTGCTGATGAGAAAACTGGGGCTGGGGCTGGGTCAGCAACTGAATTCCAGTTTAGAGGCGTATTTGGTCATGGACGTGGTTAGCCACCTCAGTACAACTGGAGAGGGTTATTTTGCATTGAATAAACTTATAACCAGAAAAAAAAGAAAAAAAAATTATAAGAGGCCGGGTGTGGTGGCTCACACCTGTAATCCCAGCAGTTTGGGAGGTTGAGGCTGGTAGATCATGAGGTCAGAAGATCAAGACCATCCTGGCCAACATGGTGAAATCCCATGTCTACTAAAAATACAAAAATTAGCCTGGTGTGGTGGTGCACACCTGTAGTCCCAGCTTCTCAGGAGGCTAAGACAGAAGAATCGCTTGAACCTGGGAGGTGGAGGTTGCAGCAAGCCAAGATCGCACCACGGCACTGCAGCTCGGGCGACAGTGCGAGACACTGTCTCTAAATAAACAAATAAATAAATAAAAATTATAAGATAGCCACACGATAGATAACCACGCCCCAAGACATGCTCATTTTCTGCATGCTAAGTCATTCACAAATATTGTTTGGTGAACAATAAAAAACAGGTGACAAAACAAGGTCAAGTGTGACACCAATGTTGTGAAAACCCCCATCCGTAATGGAGTATTCGCACAGGAAGCCACTTGCAAGGACATACACCAGAATAGTGACAGGTGTTCTCCTTGTGCAGTGGGACTAAATATACTTTCTGGTTTCTTCTTCTGCTCATCTGTATTGTCTAATTTTTCTTCAATGAACATGTGCTATCTCAGTATAAGAAAAACGTTAAAAATAACCAACACTTTAGTTTAAGAAAGAGATGGCAGGGCACCTGCTAGAGGACCAGACAAAACACAGATCACAAAATCACAACTTTACAAAGGCAGGGATCTGGGGCCAGACATTGACTGTGGCTGCTCAGACTGGAGCCGATGGGGCCGCAAGCCTGCTTCTCACTAATTAGGTAACCCCTGAGAGCATCCTCCAACACCCTGCTACATCCAATGCAAATATATCTTCTCCTTCTTTACTCTAAACTTGGGACAATCAACACTTGGCCTCTGAGGTCTCCAGGGGTCTCCACCTGCAATGATGCGCCCTTCTAGTCTAGACTGCATATGGAAGCTTGATCAACCAGCTCCTGAAGACGGAGTGCTCCTATTCCCTAAAGAAATGATTAAAGGAGAGGAATAAAGAAATGAAGAGAGAAAGCATGAAAAAGGGAGGGAGGGCAACGAAGGTCACCGGTGCTCCCCCCACACCCCCTTCTGCCTCCTTCTCTGCCTGATTCCACAAGCCAGAGACTGGCATGGGCAAAGCAATGAGAAGTGACTCTCCCTAGAGCCAACTTACCCTTTTCCCAGTGATATGAGCACAGGACTCTCCAGCTCCATAAGCACCTGGAAGGCGCTATTCATGTTTTGATAAGAAAAGCTTTCTCCTGCATCTGCGATTACCACACAGTTTGGGTTGGATGTGTCGATCTGATCAAATTCTGAGCGGACTCCTGGAGAGAAAGAGTGTGTGACTGAGTGACTCAGCCTCGGGAGAACATGGCCTACCTCCCCATCTCCTACCAGGAACGCCGTTTGCATGTCCTCCCCTTTCTCAGATGCATTTCTTTCTGATCCTCATAGCTACCATGGGAGATGGACACAGGAGGGTGTTATTCCCATTTCACAGAGGAAGGACTTCGGTTCTTCACTGAGAGCATGTGAGGAGAAAGGTGGACCCACCCCCAGGACCCTCCATCCCAACAAATCAGCCCAGGAGCCTCCTGAGTTCACGACCACAGGCAGGAAACCCACAGCTTTGCAACTAAGAAGGGAAATCTCAGAAGACACAGACCTGCAGCAGCAGGAAATGGGGCTGCTTGCAAGACTTGGAGGGCTGGCACTACTGGTCCCAAACTGTAAGAACCCTTGACACATTTCAGGTGACCCCACACATATGTCCTGAAGAAAAGGAGCAGGATTCCATCCCCACAGGCCCTGTTCACCAACTCCCTTAGAAAACTCTCTTCCCCCTTCTCCTTTGTCCTCCCCATTTTAAATTAAAATAGGAAAATTTACAAGGATTGATCAAATCATTGGCTTTGTGTCTTCAGGTCCTAGAAGAAACATGCTGTCATCTCTCTTAGGATTAGATGTTGACCTTTCTAAATTAAAAAGAAACTGAGGCGCAGTGGCTCACGCCTGTAATCCCAGCATTTTGGGAGGCTGAGGCGAGCAGATCACCTGAGGTCAGTAGTTCAAGACCAGCCTGGCCAACACGGTGAAACCCCATCTCTACTAAAAATACAAAAACTAGCTGGGTGTGGTGGCAAGCACCTGTTATCCCAGCTACTCGGGAGGCTGAGGCAGGAGAATCACTTGAACCCGGGAGGCGGAAGTTGCAGTGGGCTGAGATTGCACCACTGCACTCCATCCTGGGCAACAGGGTGAGACTCTGTCTCAAAAAAAAAAAAAAAAGAAACAAATACACAATGAGATACCATTTCATACCCACCAGAATGGTGAGAATTAAAAAGACTGATAACACCAAGGGCTGGTGAGGATACTGAACAGCTGCAATGGATGGAGAAAGTGTAAAATAGTACAACCCCATCTGGAAAAAAGGTCTGGCAGTATTTTATAAAGGTGAACATACACGTACCCTATGACCCAGTATTTTGGCTGCTAGGTATTTGCCCAAAAGAACTGTGTAAGAATGTTCATAGCAGATTTGTTCGTCATAGACTAAAACTGATAACAATCCAGGTATCAACGACATGTGAATGGATAAACTGCGGTCTCTTCACTCAATGGAATACTACTCTGCGATAAAAATGAACACCACTGCCGATACATGCAACAATATGGATGAGTCTCAAAAACATGATGTTGGGTAAAAGAATCCTTACACGAAGGCCGGGCGCGGTGGCTCAAGCCTGTAATCCCAGCACTTTGGGAGGCCGAGGCGGG